GTCCCCACCACACCTGTCCCCACCACACCTGTCCCCACCACACCTGTCCCCACCACACCTGTTTCCCCATTTGTGCAGGGGCTGGGGCCATACTGCTCTTCTGCCCAGTAGCTTGGTGGTCTGAATGTCCAGCTGGGGCAGAGAGAGTTCTGGCCTGACTTCAGGGGCCATGTTGGCCATGGCCTTGTGAGTGGGAAGCCTCTAGCTATGAGGGATGACTGTCTTAGGGGACAGAGCCCCCTCCCTGGCCTGGACTCATACCTGGCTCTGTGCCCCATGGACCCTGTGTGGCCACACTCCAGGGTGCTGGCCAGGATGGGCAGTGGTGCCCAGTCCCTGAGGAGCTGTGTCTCCCTAGGAGCCTGGGGCCAAGGCAAGGCCAGGAGGCCAGCACAGCTCCCGCGAGCCCCGGGCTGACCGTTATCTGATGACTTTTCATGCACAGTTGCCCTGATGACAGCTTAATGGTGCTCTCTAACGGGGCTGCTCTGTATCTCTATCCCACGATTGGCTGATGGTGATAAGGAAAGGAAAAAACAGGGTCTGGGAGACCGTGCCCCTTGGCACGCTGGGCAGCCACAGCCACCTCCACAGCTCAGGGAGATTCAGTGAGGTCTCTGGGCTGGTGACTCCTGAGGACCTGGGGAGACAGCCACAGGGAGGCTGGTGTCGGGTCGGGTACTGGACCCTGCAGCACAGGCCTGGGGTTGCAGGGGCAGCCACCTGCCCCTCCTCTCACTCCCGGGTGCTTTGGGGGTGTTGGGAGGGGCATTTCAGGGCACTGGGCAGCGGGACCTGTGTGGGACAGGACTCTGCTGCCAGAGCCCAGATCTGCAGCCTACAGAAGCAGATTCACACACTCCCTCACTCGCTCCAGATGTTCCTGGTCAGCCCCTGGGACTCCTCACAGAACGTCCCTCGTCCTGTGGGTCACGAGGACAGTGAATCTCTCTGCGAATCAGGGAGCTCAGGAGAGGAATGACCAGAGCTACTGCTGGGCAAGAAGGCAGGGGAGGCTCCCTAAAGGAGGCGGACTTCACACTGCACCTGAGTGATTTGGACCCTGGACTCAGGACCCCTCTGTCCAGCTTGTCTACCTGGAGGCTCTGATCCTGGGGTTGAGGGCAGAGAAGCCTCCCTTACAGAGCAACCATCCTGGTCCTCTTGGGGACCCCTGTCCCTAGCCTTATGCCTCCAGGGGAGGGTCCCAGTGAAGGACACTGGCCTCTTCTCAGCCCCAGGCCCAAGGGAGGTGTTTCCCGACAGCAGCAAGCATCTGACGACCTGGGGACCCAGTGTGCCTGCCCGCCACAGCCCCAGTACACACCCCTGCCTCTGCTGCTGTCCAGAAGGTCCAGGACTGGGAACTCACAGGCGCAGGACTACCAGGAGAGCTCTGTCCCCCACTGGCTATGTCACCCAGCATCAGGATTTTGGTGACAAAAGGGATGTGGAGTCCTGAAGTGAGGCACGTCTTGGCCGGGCCACGTGGACTATCCCAAGTGCCCCGCCCCCAGCCTAAGACCCTGGTCCTTGGCCATGGGCCCCTTCAAGCCATGCAGATGTCACCTGCCGGCACAGACCAGGGGCTGGGGCCCTGTGCAGAGGCAGTGCACCTGGCCGTATCTGGAGAGTAGGACCAAGCATGGCTATCTAGGGCTCAGGATGCAGACCTCTTCCCGCATTTTCTCCCCTAGCCACCCAGTGTGGGTGTGAGAAACTAATGGGACTCCATTTTAAAAAATAAATAAATAACA